CACAGATAGCCCATTGTGCAGCTTTGTGCTTAACAACAAATAAACAATAAACAAACAACAACAACCCTGTATACATATGATATTCCACCATTATGTCATGTAGATAATATGATGAAAATTATTTACTGCCGCTTAAATAATATTTCTCTCTCATTTTAGTTGTTTATTTGTTGTTGTTACTTTATTTTTTGTGACGCGGTAGGAGAATTTAGGCGTTTAATGACACCCACCTTTTTTGGCGTGTCATTGATTTTTTGCTATTATCACTAATTAAGTTTATGAAATAAAATGTTTTTACAAAATAATATACAAACATAGCAGAAGTTTCGCAAATTATTTCTTGAAATCTCATAACAAAAATTAGATTAATAAAATTCAATTATGTGTCAGAACAAATCTTTTCCATATTTTACTTTTATATTTTTTTCTAGAATTTTCAATTGTTAGAATTTAATCTCTCAAATATAGTGAGAATAACTATATTAAAACTATAATTTTCATCTATCTCTAGACGATTCTTCTCTCAATTAGGCTTAATTATCTGATATATTGTATGATTGTTTTGTTTAACCTTGTGATTACCAAAGTGGATACATTATACACCTATGGTTTTGCCCTCCAGTGGCACAGCGGTATGTCTGCGGACTTACCACGCTAGAAACCGAGTTTCGATACCCGTGGTGGGCAGAGCACTGATAGCCCATTGTGTAGCTTTGTGCATAATTATAAACAAACCTTTTTTTTTTTTTGCATTAGATCAATGTTGCTATCTTTGACTAACACAGGTACATACTGTAATATAACAAAAACTAACTGATGAATAACCTGCATCCCTTATATTGTGTTTCACTTCATGATTGACTGAAACAACTGTATTAACAATGAGGCATTATGTACGATCTTTTTGGTAATTTTTGTAAATAAGATCTTTGCTTCAAGTTAGTGTTGTACATTTAAACACAAATAATAAACAAATAAATAGCTATAATTTGTTTCTTTGTTTGTAATTAAGCAAAAAAACTACACAATGGGCTATCTGTGCTCTGCCCACCACGAGTATCGAAACCCGGATTCAAGCTTTGTAAGTGCAGACATATCGCTGTGCCACTGGGGGGGCATTAGGTTCAAACTGATATATACGTGTAAATAATTATATCATGACGTCATACATGAACACGTATAACAGTCTTCTTTTAACACACACACAAAAAATCATGAAACCACAAAAACATTTTTCATAAAATCCTCCCATGTAATGTATGCTCACACCACGATATATCACATGTGTATATGAGTAATTGCTAATTATTTGCAGTTTGCTTGTGTTTTTCTTAACTTGGTGCCACTTTAGACGACACAAGTAAGATAACTCTTACTGAAATAAATATAAAGCCAAATCTATTATATCAATTCACCACTTGTTACTGTGTTATACCGGTATCGGGAAATTCCACCCCACATCAGTAACCCTGGACAAGAAGAAACTGAAAGAAGACTAGACTTCATATAGTGGTGGAGTGTATATTATATGTATGGTATTTTGAGTTGTTTTTTCTCATCACAATTACCATACGTATAATATAACTCTTATATTTCATTGTTGATTAAAAAATATATTACACAAAACACAAAAAAGAAAAAAGTCTAATTCTCGTGTATATCTTTATACAATTGTCTAGGATTGGATCAAGCATGAACAATACGACTATTTTATTTTAAAATTATTTTAACTAGACAAAAGCACGCAAGACGATACTAGGAAAATACTACAGTATGGAATATTAATTGTTCATCCACACTAAACAATGACTCAGTTATAGGAGTTTATATACTATACCGAAATGGTGTAATATTAATATAATACGAAGCTAAGGTGATTGGTTGGCATCATTAGATAATATTATAATGTAATGTCCAACGTTTATAGGCGAGTTTGCAGTCATATGGCGATGTCAAATATCACGTGAAACAGACAACTTACAACATAAAATGACGTTGGGTAAGATAGTCTTTCCATCGATATATATTTTTATTTTATAACAACGAGATAAAACATATTAAAATACTAACAAAAACACTAAAATACTAACAAAACACTAAAAACATACTAAAATACTAACAAAAACACTAAAAACATATTAAAATACTAACAAAAAACATACTAAAATACTAACAAAAACACTAAAAACATATTAAAATACTAACAAAAAAACATTAAAAAAATACTAAAATACTAACAAAAAACATTAAAAACATACTAAAATACTAACAAAAACATTAAAACATACTAAAATACTAACAAAAAACACTAAAATACTAACAAAACACTAAAAACATACTAAAATACTAACAAAAACATTAAAAACATATTAAAATACTAACAAAAACATACTAAAATACTAACAAAAACACTAAAACATACTAAAATACTAACAAAAACACTAAAAACATACTAAGAAAAAACACGTCACCCCAGAAATTAAAATACCTGTTTCGAGCAACATACGTAGTATTATTCGCCAATTAATTTTCGTATCTTGTACAGTATCACTGAGTACACTTCTATAGCTGAAATCACCGAAGAAATTGATTAAACGGTTTTAATTATTTAGGTTTTGTAATCTATAAAGTAAACTAAACAAAGCAGCCCATAAATTACAAAACTTTAAAAGTTTTCCTATGTTATTATAGAATAATTTCGTTACACTGTATGCTTTTTCTGAACGTAAGAAGTACTTATAATTCAAACTGTTTATACAGTTCTATAGAAACGTGTATGTCAGTCTTGAAAACGTAAGAAGAAAACTCATGAAATTAAAATTACTAGTGTAGCAATAAATTATGAAAACTAACCCTGGTAAAATATGGTACAGAGTACAATTCATGAACATTAGTTGAGTTTTTTAAACTCATAACTCGGCTATGTTTTAAATAATATGAATTATTTAACTTCACTAAATGCATTTTTATGTCGAATGTTAGATGCCACGTTAAGAATAGTAGTCGTTTGAATGCATAATTATGTAGATGATTGAAAACTGCATCTATCTTATAACTTATGATCTTGGTTTGTTTTTCGTACCTAATTATCCATATTAATGAATATTCAATTATGAAAATCAACATCAATCATAATATAACTCAGAATTGAAGTATTCACTTCACGAGTTAACGAACATGAAGAGAAATTAAAGAATGATTCAGTTAATAAGTTCGTTTCCAACTCCAATCAGATCTAGGAAGTTAATGAATTAATTACCTTACCTTCTTCACTCTGATGAATTATCGCGCGTCCACTGTCCAAGTGGCTCGAAGATGTTACTTCTTGCTGGTTATTTGTATTCGCGTCCATCTCGGAACAAGACGCACGATATCAGTTTTCTCCATGAACTCTGACCGCGTGAACCTCCGCTATCCAAGCTCGTGCAACTAACATACATTAAAGACTGATAGGCTATTTAGCGCACGCTAGCACGTGACACGCGAAAAACCTTTCTATCTCCAGTACTGTTTCTAAGTGTAATAAACGTACTATAATAGCTGCAGGTTTCCATTAATTTTAGCAGCTAAACGACTAAATCCTAAGTCCTACGCACATCTGTTATTTGGAAGTATGTGTAGGGCTTACTCTAGCTTAACAGCAAGCCACTCAAATACTTCTATCTCATGCTGTTTTTCTGTCGTCTGCCTATTCTGAGTGCTCGTCACAAGAGTTGATACAATCTGAACATGAAATATATTTACCGCTAATTTCAGTAATGAATACACAATGACGCAAAGAACAGAGCGCGAAAGCCACACTAGCAACGGTATCGAGGACCAAACGGAAGAAAACAAACCATGAAAACGACCAATACGCACGCACTTCTGAATGCACCGTTAGCCGCGATACAGTTACACAGGCAGTCGATTGAACGTACATGCACACTTCACCGTATACTAACTTTGAAAACCTTCTACGAGGTGGCGCTGCGACATTTTTTAGCATCTCGTGGCAGAACCGGCGTAATGGTTTTCTTTGTTTCTAAAACTACACAAATAGGCTATCTCTACTGTGCCCACCACAGGTATAGAAACCGTACTTAGAGCGTTATAAGCACACAGACTTACCGCTGAGCCACCCGTGGTGGTGGGGAGGATGGAGGTGACGTATTGGATTAGGCTTATAGGTGGCTCGATATTAGCGCGGTCGCAAGGTTTGTTTTTGTCTAAACTGCGAAGTTTTCAAGAAGTCAAGTTTACAAGAAAAGCAAATTTTTAGATAAAAGTTTTAGTACAGAAAGAGAAATGACAAACTCACGAATTATAACACGTAAAAATTAAGTGCTGGTAGAACACAGTTTTCAGTATTGTAAGCTCAGTTGCTTATTTGGATCACTGAAACGCCGATCTTTGCATCAACTTATTGTTTTCATACTAATAATCATAATCTTTATTGAAGTCTGCCTATTAGCACTTTTAAAATGCCAATACTACGCCTTCATACTCGCTTACAGTGGTGTAAGAAGGAGTTGCAAAGAGGGCTTCTTGGCTAGACATGTAAATTTTACAACGAGAGATTGAAAGTATAAGGAACTGGTTTTAGCAGTTCCCATTCTGCCGAAAGCATCTCAGTCTAGGGAGGTCTGGGAGCATCCCCCCCCAATTAATATAATAATATACTTTACAGTTTCTATATAAGTCAAATATGTAAAATTGGGGGTGCTACACCATCTAGCACCCTCGGTTCTGACGCCTCTGTCTTAAAGAAGATATCATTAAAATTATGTGTTCTTTTAAAACAGATTATGTTTATAAAATAATACAGTTTTTGAATATTTAAAAACAAACAGTTCTTTCTTTCCATGGCCAGGTGGTTAGGGTGCTCGAATCGCAATCTGAGGGTCGCGGGTTCGAATCTCCGTCCCACCAAACATATTCGCCCTTTCAGTCGTGGGGGCGTTATAATGTGACGGTCAATCCCACTATTCGTTGGTAAAAGAGTTGGCGGTGGGTGATGATGACTAGCTGCCTTCCTTCTAGTCTTTCACTGCTAAATTAGGCACAGCTAGCGCAGATAGCCCTCGTGTAGCTTTGCGCAAAATTCAAAACAAACAAAACAATAATCGCAGACACCGAAATCTATTAAGTCCACTTGTCTTAGGCCTAATATTAATTAAGTCTTTATTAAGTACGGCCTATATTCGATAAACAGATAAATTAACACTTTAGCCTATGTACATTAGGGTAAAACTTTAGTTTACTTAATCAGATTATAATGTTATTGTACGACCTAACGTTAGACCTTTTTAAAAACTTTGATAAGCTTTTACTAAGTTATACAAAATCTATACTAAAGTATAGATCTGTTGAAATGAAGTGCGCCTTCTTTTTCAGGGCAGACAAAAACTGTGTATTGTTATAATATACACATAGAGTTAACAGGCTTTTTGTTATCACATGATATGACTATTTGGTTACAATAAAAACACGTGATAAAGTTGTTTTTTTTTGTTTGTTTTTTATTTATAGCAAAGTTATTAAGGCTATCTATCGTTATTTCTAAATTTCAACTGCCACTAACCACGGATGGAATGGAACACCGGGAAAATTCTTGGTGGACCGGTGGAAAAAAATGAGAATGCCTTTTTAACACTATTGAAATCGGGTTTGCTTGGGAGCTCTATTCCTCGTTAAAGGCTTGTAGTGCAAAGGAGCGATAATTGGTGTTATAATTACTCTTTTGGCCTGGTATGGCCTGGTGGTTAATGAGCTCGACTCGCAAAACTAAGGGTTGCAGATTCGAATCCCCGTCACCAAACATGCTCTATCTTTCAGCCATGTAGGTTTTATCATGTTACGGTCAATCTCACTATTCGTTGTTAAAAAAGTAGCCTAAGAGTTGGCGGCTGGTGGTGTTGACTAGTAGCCTTCCTTCAAATTTATCACTGCTAAATTAGGGACGTCTAGCGCAGATAACCCTCGTGTAGCTTTGTGCGAAATTCAAACCAAATCAAACCATTACTCTTGTAAAATAATTGTTTTGTGTGAATTTGTTTTAGTTCATGTAGTTTTTGTGGTCATGTAGGCTTATACTTTACTTACATTGGTAATAAACATTGCACTGTAGATTAAAACCTCTGTGCAATGTATTTTTGTTTAATGTGTGAACTGATACAGTATTAGCACATATTATATGCTACAGCATTAAACGAAGCACCCTGCTAAGTTTTTCGGGATTAACTCTCCTACAACCTCATTGGAAGGCCGGATTTTCTTATTTTTTTTGTTTGTTTATTGGTTTTAGCTCAAAGCAACACAATGGATTATCTGAGCTATGTCCACCGCAGATTTACCGCTAACCCACCGGGAAACTGAAAGTCCGGTATGGAAATATTTTCACAATCCACTTAAAATGCACCCGCCCATAAGTACGTGGGGAAGGGGGGGATATTTCGTGATATCGCACAGATTCGAACCCGGCTCGCCAGCAACGAAATCCAGAACTGTACTACAGGACCAACGATATTAACAGGCCCCTCACGAGCCACTGGGGACATTTTTTATTTAAAACATTACCCAATCCAGCTTTTCTTAATTTGAACTGAAAATTTTTGGACATTTTTATTGGCTAAAAAGAAGGCATTTCCCACACTCTTTTAGCGTTGAGGCTGCGAAAATTGATTTGAAGTGGTAAGGTGACTGAAATCTGTCAGCCATCACTAGCTTAACCACCAAGCACAAGAAGCATGGAAGTCTCCAAATGACACGCAGAGATATTCAGGAACCGTTTTTAACCACCTTGGTAGATATTGTGCAGCAAGCCGAGGAGAATATTATGCCTGTAGCTGCTTTCAAAAATGTTCCTGTCTGATCATCCTACTGCTTACTATCGTGATGCTTCGACCTTCCCTATCGAATCGCAGGTGAAGTCGTACGTATCTAAATTGAAAGCTAAACATAAAAAGGTGATAGAAGAAGCGTAAAAAGTTGGAAATTGCTTAATTAATGATGCTGAGAATGTGGCTTATATATATATATATATATATTGAATTTACTCCCAGTGGGAGTATATCTATTACGGAGAATTGAGGATGCTGTATTTCACTTAAATGTTTATCAATTAACAAACGAAAGCTTGTCTTCAAGTTGTTTCGAAAAGATAAGTCCAAAACCACCCTCGTTGGGAGTTTCCAGATTGAACTTACTTTTAATATTCAACAAATTGTAGTATAAAGACATCCCTTGGCTCCTGAGGGACGTGTTAAAATCAATAAAGTGTGCTATATCTGCGTCATTTATTTACTTTTAAACGAAAAATAATTTATTTTCGTTATAAATATGATACCAGTAAGCTGCCTTAAATATATTTTTTCTATTTAACTTACAAAAATTAATTAAATTCTTATAACACTAGAAACTTTGTAGTAAATGTCAGCTCATGCTTATGGTTAAGAACATTTGTAGTTTCACTTCATTAGAAAGTATACATGAACAACATAATATCAAGACTAACCTACTGAGTTTCAAACTTACCTTTTGAAATTGTATTTTTTCACAATCTCTGAGTGGAAGTAAAGAAGAATGTATATTAATATATTAATCACAATATATCTTCTATATCCAGTGCCTACGAGATTTTTAATCCAATACCAAGGCTAATCAAGCCGGCCAGGTGACAACTGACACAGTAATGGTTGTGATGCCATTTTTATTATCAAATTGCACGAACAACAACTATCATGGTGTAAATTATATTGTCTCCAGTGGGTCAGAAATTTTGTGGCTTTGAGCTAAAAACCTAAAACACAAATTCTTAATTCGTTATTATATAAGCTTTGAACTTCGTACCAAGGAAAAGGACTTCTGAACAAGAGGATGAGTTCAACGTTGAGGGCGATCTGAGAAACTAGCAAGGTCTAAGGTCCTGGACGCTAAGGTCTTTTGTCAGTAATACAAACCTGAGACTTCCAGAGTTATTGATCAGGTTTGACTCTTGAGTTTAGACCTCAAGTATGATGGATTGAGAATCTCTGCTCTGAGAAGTATGCTGCTTTAAACAACCTGGATCCTGGAGAACTCTACATATTTGCAGAACTACAAGACGAATTTTCATTGGGGACATGTCGTTCTTCTTCCAGGAGCATGGACCAAGTATATGTCCAAACTCAGGACCTCTGGACACGAATGTTACCCTCCGCCCCTACCACCATGATTGTTTCAGCCTAGTGTGAGATACCACTGAAAGTATAACGCTATCTTTGTGAATTACAACTAAGAAAAAAACTGCTTTCTTAAAGATTTCAGAGAATTCATGTATTCACAATGCCCCCGAATGCAGTGGTGTTCGAAAGACTGAGTCTAGTGCATTATCGTTGTTTGTTGCAGTGATGAAACCAGTGAGTGAAATGCACTGTTTATTGTTCAGTAACTAGGCTTCGCTTGTTCGAATAGTTATCTGTCCTAACTGTGACATACTCTCCATGCTAATCTTTAATTACGGATAATTTGGCTATTCTGTTTCTTATTGAAGTGGTCATTAGCATGATAAATGAAGTGGAAATAAGTGTAATTACTGGTACTGCTAGGGTTATATCTGAAAGCAATGCATGACTATCATAACACCTGAGATAGTTTTTAGAGTACTGTGCAATAATCCTGGATTTAACACTATAATGGAAAGTTAGTGATTTGCTGGCTCAATATGTTGATGTCTTTGTGAGGCTAAATGGCCGTTCGAGTCGAAAACAGTAGCTCACCACTATGTGGATACAGGAGACGCACGCTAAATAAAACAACTGCTACGCAGGTTTTCATAGATCATTAGTGATATATCCAATATATAGACACTGCAGATCTTAAAAGACAGTGTAATACAGCCTTCAGAAAATGCTTGGTCATCTCCATTAGTAAATATGCTAATTTTTATGCAGGAACGTGTTGATCCACGTTGAAGTCTTTTTGCTCTTGAAGATAGAT